GAGGCAACTGTCTTCCTCGCTTAGCAGCAGAAATTTTGGGTTTGATTGTGGTTCGTAAGTCAAGGACTACCTGTAGTTTGTCTTCCGTGTAGGGAGGCTTCTCAAAGACCAGAGTTTTCATGATGGAAAGGACCTTGGGAAGATGAGGAAGGAGCCTACCCTTTTCACGACAGCTTGCAGAAAAAAGCTGGCTGTGGACAGTTCCAGCTTTTGTGAGGAAAATGATGAGTCAGCCTCCATCGGAGCTGGAAAAAAAATAATTGGTTGCTAAGACTCCAAGCTACCACGTGAAGGCTTTGTTTTGATCCGTGCTAGGAACAACCAGCTGATGCTTTGGGAGAATTTTAGGGAGTGATTTCCAGAAAAAGGTTTATTTAATACAGCCCAAAAGGTGCCAAATTAAATGAGGAGGGCCAAAAAGGGTTTTTTTTTCCAAAATCAGCCACTGTGTATGAGTTGGGTAGCTGTGTAAATCTGGTAGGTAAATAAAACGCACCGAATTGGGAAATTCTACTGGGAAAATGTTGAATTCTAAGTGTGGATGCAAGACTGCTCCAGGAATACTTTATCCCAGACACTGGAAAGAGTGCATAGAATAACAATAAAGATGATTAGGAGACTCAAACTTATGAAGAATGGTTGCAGAAATTGGGCATGTCTAGTTTAATGAAAAGAAGGGCTAGGGGTGACATGATAGCAGTCTTCTGCTATATTTGAAGGGCTGCCCCAAAGAAGAGGGAGTCAAGCTATACTCCAAAGCACCTGAAAGCAGGACAAGAAGCAATGGGTGAAAACTAATCAAGGAGAGAAGCAACCTAAAACTATGGAGGAACTTCCCAACAGTTAGAACCATTAACCAGTGGAACAGCTTGCCACCAGAAGTTGTAAATGCTCCAACACTACAAGTTTTTAAGAAGAGATTGGATAGTCATATGTCCAGAATGCTATAGGGTCTCCTGCTTGGGCAGAGGGCTGGACTAGAAGACCTCCAAGGTCCCTCCCAGCCCTGTGATTTTATGATTTGTACACCCCCATGAGCAGTTTCAAAATTAGATAGATAGATAAAGAGATAAGAGAGAGAGAAAAAGAGAAAGAGATAGAGATGGATGGATAGATAGGGATGGATAGGTACTGTAGATAGACAGATTTACTTGCTTACATGGGATATTAAGTGAATTCTGGAGTTCTTTTTCTCCTTTATAATATTGATTCCTTTTTTAAATTGCTCAGGAAGCACTGTGTTTGTGCCAAAACTACCACATTGGATGTTGTGCAAGGTCAAAACCAATCACAATCCATTTAAAGCTTCTATTCTATTGGCTGCATTTTGACTGAGCCAGGCAAAGCAGAACAGGGAACATTCTGTGAACTGCATCTTAATTAGTATTTATCAGGCCGCCAGCGTGCCTTGATTGATTTCGAGAAGGATTCAAGAGTCGGTGGAGCAGTATTATATTTTTATTGTATTTGGCCAAGAGCTGGAAAAGTAGCTGGAAAAATCTAGCCCGTGCCTGGAAAGCCACGGGAATTCCTTCAAGCTCAGTGGATCCGAAAGGACGTATTCCTTCTGTGGCTTTGCTCCCACCACGGTATTCTCACGCTGAGTGAGTCAGAAAGAAACAGGGAAAATCAGCTGGTGAATCTAAAAGAGAGGAGTGGGTATCCCATCAAGGTTGCAGTTCATTTTTCATCTTGCATTTTGACTTGGTGCCACCGCCGAAGCATCAAACTGAGTGACAAACGGATTGTCGCGAGTTGCTGTCAATTCAGAATTCCTAATGCAGTGTTTTTCTCAACCTTAGCAACTTTGAAATATGTGAGCTCCCCAGAATTCCCCAGCCAGGATGCTTTAGGATGTCTGGACTTCAACTCCCAGATTTCCCCAACCGCCCTGCTTTCGGATGGGTGGACTTCAACTCCCAGAATTCTCCAGCCAGCATGCTTTAGGGGGTTAGAATAGAAGAGAGAACCCTATTTTTAATCGTTTCCATGTTCTTTTACATCTTCGGTGCCCTGTAATTGAGGAGGCAGAGTGTTAATACTGGAATTATACTGGAATTATAAATACTGTTCTGTTTATTGGCTACCTTTTTAGACTGCCATCCTCTCCAAGCGCCCATGAATTATGCAAACCTTTGGAAGGTTAAATATTTCAGCTGCCTTCTTCTTGAAATCCAGTCATCTGCATCTTAATGCAACGAAGCAGGTTGGAATCCCTTCTCTTTTCGTTTCAGGCACCGATGGTGGACGGAGCTGGCCTGGAAAAAGAAGCCATTCTGTCTCCGAGCTCTTTCTCGCCGCCTCCATTTAGGGGGAGCTCAGGCACAAAATGGGGGACCCAAGAGAACTCTGTCCTCACCTGGATTGCATAGGTGAGGTCACCAAGGATGATATGCTTTTCAAGTCCAAGGTAAGAGGCTGTTTCTCTGCAGCGGCATTTCTGCTTGTTGGCATATACGGATAATCCTGGACCAAGATGGAGCCCAACATTTCTGTTGTTGAGCGAGACGTTCGTTAAGTGAGCTTCGTTCTATTTTACAACTTCTCTTGTTGTAGTTGTTAAGTGAGTCACTTCAGTTGATAAAGTTGGTCACACGGTCGTGACGTGAATCTGGCTTCCTCCTTGACTTGGCTTGCCAGAAGGTTGCAAAAGGAGAATCGCATGTCCCTGGGACACTAAGTCCGTCATAAATACGAGTCCATTGCCAAGCGCCCGAATTTTCACCATGTGACCACAGGGATGCTGTAACAGTCATAAGTGTGAAGAAATCGGTCCTTTTTTTCTTTTTTTAATAATGTTTATTGAAAGTTTCAAAAAAAAAATTTTTTTAAAAAAGAGAAACGTTCTCACATTTTTGCAACGTTTTCACATTTCTATTAGTGTCAGTTAAAGTCATTTGCTACAAGTAAATCTATAACATTTCCTAAACCGTTACTTTTTTATGTTATTATTACAATTAGAATACAATATTTAATTATATTACTTTACATATATACATAGCTATATAGATATTTATCCTTATTTCCATTTTCCCTTGTTGTTTGTTTAATCGGTTTCACTAGACATCTTTGCTTCCTTTTTATACAACAATTTGTACCATATATTCCAAATTGTAAAAAAACTCCCCCTCTTCCTTATTTTTTAGTAACATGGTTAGTCTAACCAAGAAATCGGTCTTTTTTTCAATGGCGTCGTAACTACGAATGGTCACTAAATGAATGTTTGCACGTTAAGGCACATTCTTGTTTCAGTTTAACAAAAAAAGAGAACACAAAACTGAAAATCCGAAAGCTTTGTATCCTAAGCAATCAAACAATCATCGTCTCCTTTTAATGACACCATAATCCTTTGCGGGGTGAAGTCTGGGCAGCTGAATGGAGCAGAGTGTTTAATGGCCGGATGCTTTTCCTGTCCCCGGTGCGGAGTTTTATTCAGCAGATAAATTCACACTGTGCCCAGAGAGAAAGAACTGCCTTTACCCAGGCCTTCGCATCACTGCTAAGCAATCAAATAATATCAAAACAATACAGTCTGTCTAAATAAAACATATAGCCTATAAATGCATCATAACATCACCACTTCGTTTATTGTTGGGAACACAAACGAGCGTGTCAAAATGAGTCAACGTTTTTCATTTTTTTCCCCCCTCGCTCTCCCATGTCAATCTAGGGAACATGCCAGTCTTGCGGTGCGGGAGGACCAAATCTCTGGGCCTGCCTTCAGGTGAGACACCCCTCCCCACACCTTGAAAACCAAACTTTTGCGGAAGGGGAATGTTGTGTTCCTCCCGCTGTCAAATCTGGGGAGATAACTGGACCACCGATGGTCCTTCGAGGGCACAGAGACCTGATTTTTTCTGCCCGCGTTACAAATACAGCCGCCTTCCAGTTCAGTGTGCTTCAGCTTAAATCCGTCTCTCTACTTCTCCAGGTTGGTTGCCATTACGTCGGTTGTGGAGAGTCCTTTGCGGATCACAGCACTTTGCACGCCCAGGTGAGGGACTTCCCACCGACTTCGTTTGACTTAAGTGGAGCTGAGTTGATTTCCTGGTGTTGAGACTCTGGAAAGAGCGCAGAGAAGAGCAACCAGGATGATGAGGGGGACTGGAGGCTAAAACGTACGGAGAACGGTTGCAGGAACTGGGCCTGGCTAGTCTAGTAAAGAGAAGGACCAGGGGTGGCATGATAGCAGTGTTCCAATACTTGAGGGGCTGCCACAAAGGAGAAGGGCTCGACCGATTCTTCAAAACATCAGAAGGCAGGGTGGAAACTAATCGAGGAGAGAACAAATCTAGAACTAAGGAGAAATTTCGTGACAGTGAGAATACTTATCCAGAGGAACAGTTTGCCCCTGGAAGGTCCTTTCCAACGCTGTTATTCTGTAACTTGGTGAAGTCTGTGAATCACAAACCCTAATGGCTGTTTTGCTGCTGTGGCTTCTTTCTTTTTTTCTTTTTCTTTTATCCTTTCCCCCACCCCTCAACCCGCACCCAGGCCAAAAAGCACAATTTGACGGTGAACCTGACCACGTTTCGGGTGTGGTGCTACGCATGCGAGAAGGAGGTGTTCTTGGACCAAAACCTGGCTTCCCATCCTACCAACCTGCCTTCCAAATATATGGAACAGGTAGCGAGTGTTATTTTGTGGACTTCGTTCCTTTTTATCGCGCCCCCCCACCCTTTCTCGGTTCGAGAACGCGAAAGAGTTGCTGGGCAACAGCAAAAATTGTATTTGGACGATATTGGAAAAATGAGGGTACACCTACAGATGAAAGTATAATTAGAAAAAATATCAGACTGTGCGGAGTCGGATAGATTGACATTAATAAGAGATAAGGAAGAAACAGAATATTTTTTAACATGGGATTTGTTTTATCAACGGTTAAATAAAAGAGGTAGACATTAGAAGATGAAAGCACACTGATATGCATAAGTGAAGAATGCAAGTGTGATGACTCGGGGCACAGCACTAAGGCAACACAGTCACATAAGTAACACTGTGTTCCCAGCTGCAGCTAATGAAGGGAATCAGGGCCCTTTCCTCCTCTGTAAGCCATGCAACCCACATTGCTCCCTTCTCCGTTCCTCCCTGGCCCTAGTATTAAGAGGGGGTGGGCCTGGGTCTTCCTTCAAATTCCCTCTTTCTTGCTCTACCTCTCCCCTGCTCTGCCCAGCCAGACTGTGCCCTTCCTCAGTTTCTTCCACAGCCAACGGAGCCACACTCCCGCTCCCTGTCATCTGTTTGGCCTCCCCTTCCGAATCAGATTCCGACGGGCATGACAGGAAGAATTGGATTATACATAAGTAAACATTAGTAATATTATTCCAGTTATTATTATTACCGGTATCAGGGTATTCAGCAGGTTCTGACCAGTTCTGGAGAACCGGTAGCGAAAATTTTGAGTAGTTCGGAGAACTGGCAAATCCCACCTCTGACTGGAGATTTTACAGTACCCTTCCCCTGCCACGCCCACCAAGCCACACCCACAGAACCGGTAGTAAAAAAATTTGAATCTCACCACTAACCGATATTATTATATCGTATAAGTAAATGGATCCAGACAATACACCGTTTATTAAGCACTTCAAAGAAATATATATATATATATATAAAAGTTGCTGAGCTCATTTTGGCTCGTGCGGGTTTGCATAAAAGTGGGCATCCTGAGCACCATTGCTCTCAGAGAGCAAGTGCGTTGCCAGGACCCGGGTGACGGCTTTTCCAAGGAGAATGCTGTGCCCCCTCCCCACCCCCCAAAAAATCCTGCTTTTCCCATTCCTCCTCCAGGATGCTGTCCCACCTGCCCACCTGCTCAAAGCCGTTCCGATTGCCGTCGCTGACGAAGGAGAATCGGAATCGGAAGATGACGACCTCAAACCAAGAGGTGAGAAGTTTGGGGTTCCTTTTGCCGTGTGTGTGTGTATGTGTGTGTGTGTGGCTGGGGAGGGGGGAGAACCAAAGCGTTACAAAAAGCAACAAAGGGGTGTCAAGAGCTTCACCCATTGGCATTCCTGCCCCCCTTTAGGCCTTACGGGAATGAAAAATCTCGGGAATTCGTGTTACATGAATGCTGCTCTCCAGGCTCTCTCGAACTGGTAAGTCGGAGAACTGTCATTGCCAGGTGGTCCTCGAGTTACGAAAATGGAGCCCACTGTTAAGTGAGTTGGCCCCATTTTCACGACTTTTCTTGCCGCCGTTCTTAAGCAAATCGTTGCATTTGTTAAGTCAGTAACGGGGTTGTTATGTGAATCTGGCTGACCTGTTGTCTTTCCTGGTCAGAAGGTTGCTAAATGGGATCCCGAGATTATAATTATAATTAGAATTCTTTTTATTGGCCAAGCGTGGTTGGACACACAAGGAAATTGTCTTGGTGTAAATACTCTCAGTGTCCATAAAAGAAAAGATACATTCGTCAGGAGTCATGAATCATCAGGTAGAACATTTAATGATAATCATACAGTACAAATAAGCAATCAAATCCCACTAGGAAACAGTCAATATAAATCATAAGGATACAAGTGACAAAGTTACAGTCCTACAGTCACAAGTGGGAGGGGATGGGCAATAAGGAGTGATGAGAAGATTAACAGTAATGGTAGTGCAGTCTTTGTAAATAGTTGGACCGCGTTGAGGGAATTATTTGTTTAGCAGAGCAATGGCATGCAGAAAAAATGTCCTTGTGTCTAGTTGTTCTGGTATGCAGTGCTGTATAGCATCATTTTGAGGGTAGAAGTTGAAAGAGTTTATGTCCAGGATGTGAGGGGGTCTGTAAATATTTTCACAGCCCTCTTTTTGATTTGTGCAGTATACACTCCTCGATGGAAGGCAGGTGGATAGTAATTGTTTTTTCTGCAGTCCTAATTACTCTGCAGTCTGTGTCTGTCTTGTTGGGTTGCAGAACCAAACCAGACAGTTGTAGGGGTGCAGATGACAGACTCAATCATTCCTCTGTAGAACTGGATCAGCAGCTTCTTGGGCAGTTTGAGCTTCCTGAATTGGCGCAGAAAGAACATTCTTTGTTGGGCTTTTTCAGTGACATTTTTGATGTTTCAATGACATTTGATGTTAGGTGTCCATTTTAGGTCACGAGATTTAGATCCCTGGGACACTGCAGCCACCATAAATATGAGTCAGTTGCCAAGCGTCTAGATTTTGATCATCTGACCATTCTGGGGGTGGGGAGATGATGCTGCAGGGGTCGTAAGTGTGAAAAACAGTCATAATGCGACCCTTTTGCGACCTTCTGACGAGCAAAGTCCACAGAAGAAGCCAGATTCACTTAACCACCATGGCAAGGAAGGTCATAAAGCGGGGCAAAGCTCATTCTTAACAACTGTCTCGCTTAGCAACAGAAGCGTTGGGCTCAGTTGCAGTCGTAGGTCTGAGGACTGCCCGTACGTTTGAATGGAGAACTCTCTTCTTTGTTTCCGTTTTTGCTCTTGTGAATCTGCATGAAACCGCCGGAAACCTTCTCACCCACCTTCTTGCCCCCGTTTTTTTTAGCCCCCCACTTACACAGTTCTTCCTGGAATGCGGGGGGCTGGTGAGAACCGACAAGAAGCCAGCGCTCTGCAAAAGTTACCAGAAGCTGATTTCCGAAGTCTGGCACAAAAAACGGTGAGTTGGTTGAGGAGAGCCCAATGCCAACTCAAAAAGATAGATGCTCCTTTGGTCCTTTTAGCTGCCAGAAAAAGGGAACGGGGGGAAACAAGGCATTCCTTACATGCCTAGATAATCGTCCTGGCAGCCCAAAGTGGTCGGAGTGCAAGGATCTTATTGGAGAGCGTGATTGAAGACTCTTGGCTATGGATGTGTCCCATTGGAGAATATACATCCAGGGAATGGGTGGACGGCCAAGGTCAAGGGGGAAATGTATGTATGATGTAATTTAGGGTCGGCTGTACCAAGCTAACGCCAGCATGGCCGTTTCTAATAAATCAATTTTCTTTTCTCTGAGATGCGGCTAGAGACTTTTGATTTGAATGGGGGGTGGATTTCTCGAAGCCCTGACACCCAGTTTGTGAGAGGCTAAAGTAAATTCTTAGCATTGGTGGCGGGTGGATGCATGGATAGGGAAAAAAACCCCACACAATCCTCTCACTTGTTCCCTGAACTTGGTTTTCTTGTAGACCTTTCTTTAGCGAACTAGGTAACCTCATCAGTGCTAGGAGGAAGTGAGGTGTGCTCTTGTTTATATATAGA